TATATATATATATATATATATATATATATATTAAAAATTTATTTTGCGCTTACAAGAATATATGATGAGAGATAGATATAGAACAATTTGGAAATAAACTTTTAGTTATATACGTTTCTAGAATTTAATACGAAAAATTAGTGCAACCTCAAACAAAACAATAGCCCAAAATAGATTTCATGCAGATGCTTGTATATATGTTAGATATTGGAGGGATGAGTAAGGGTCACTACAAAACTACTCGTGAATATTCAGTGGAGCATTAAGTCACCACGTAGCTTACTCGGGCGGGGACCATCTGTTCTTATCCGCACGCCAAGTTAAAGCGTTTTTAAGCTGTTGGGAGCAGCGGGGTAGCTGCTAATACGAGGGTCGTCGAGGGGGGACGACGATGATGGAACGGACCTCGTCGTGCCTTGGCATAATCGCGCAGACAGCTCACTTCATATCCGAGTTCCGGATAATTGCGGACGTTTTACAAATGGATATATCCCTCGCCGCAAGCGAAACTTTGATCATCGTCCTCGTTATCAGTTATCGTCATCATTATTAATCGTGCGAAGCTCGAAAAGAGGTAGCCATTATGTAAATATATGATTCTTGAAAGAGGTTAAAGTTAAGGCAAAGTCACTGTCATTGGCATGGCCGAAAATGAAGCTATATATAATCTTCAATAAAAAAATAACACGCAAAGTATTTTATTTATCAAATGTGCAATTGCTAATTTTAATTGATAATAGATGTAAAAAGACATATTATTATTGACGAACATGTTAATCGATAAGAAGATCATGCAAGAGGAATTAATTTTAACTTTTTATTTATTTATTTTTTTTTATTTATTTATGTGAAAGACTAAAATTATATCTCGTTTATTTCAGTTATAAATATATATTCTGAAATTTATAATAAATAATAATTATTATTTCTTATTATTTTAAGTTTAATTTTAATCGGTTCTGCAAATGACTGTATCTATAAATAATCTACGTTTTAAATTAAGTATATCATATTATAATGAATGCTCGGTTTATTTATATTTGCAAATTTACAGAATAAAAATTTATAAAATTTATTATATGATTTTATTTTAATATTTTAAATTAAAAATTTCATTTTTTGATTATTCATATATTTATTTTTTTGGATCTGGTTTGCTTATGGCATTGCTTTGACCATTTAAAAGCCATTAAAGGACAGAAGAAGAACCAGTCGCAGAGTAGCAATTTTGCAAGGCTCTTCTTGGCGACCGACGCCTCAATTTTGCAACGGTTGATCGTATCAGGGATTTGGGGGACGATCGGTCCTCTTTAAGTCTTCGACTTAAAGGCGCACTTCTGTACGGTAGAAATAACCCAGAGTGAGCATCATCGTACATTTTACAGGTTTCGACTTTTAGCGTTGCCGCGTTGCGCCCTTTCAAATAATTTAACATCGTTTTAAGTTGATTGAAGACGAGATTTATTACAACGAGTCTTTCCGCGTTGCTTCCTCTTGAATCACTATTCTCGTTTTTGTAATATTGAAGTGTTTCTACGTAGATTTATAGTATTAGTATTTGTGAGAAATATTACTGATAAATATAGTAATAGGAAAAAAGATGGGGTATTTATAAATGCCATATATACTGATTACATTTTTCTATTATAATATTTCTTAACCAATATCTATTTAAATATCTATTAAAATTATTTGTATTTGTAATAATATCTTTCTAATTGATTCTTTAATTGAACTTTTAGCAAGTATTGCGTATTTAGATTTATTAAAATATAAATCAAATATTTAATAATTTTATTTATTTAATAATTCACGCAGATAAAATATGCTTTCTTGTGTCTGCGCTATAAATCAAAGTTGGGACGATCAGAATCAATCCGAATTCCAGTCACGGAATTGTATCTTTTTTCTCCCTTCTCTACTTTCGTTATTAGCATACCACATTCTAAATACACTTCTTCTGTTTTGATCCGATGTTGCTATAGCAATTCAACCAGTTACCACTCTGGTAGTCGAGTATCGATTCCCAGGTGGCAGTCAGTGCTTGCACATTCACGTTTAAGTTCAGTCACCCATGGCACGTGTTAAATAATGTTATAGACATATTTTAATATTCACATTTAAATAAACTTCTGGCATGTAATACAAACCGATTATATGTTAAAAACACAAAGCAGATGATAATAACATAAAATAAATTCAAAATAAATCGTATTTCTTTCTTATATATATATATGTACGTATAATACATAATTTTAATATATGTATTCTACATCAACTTTTCTAATATATAATATAACATAAACAATGTAGTACATTCTAACACCTTGAGATAACTCCGTGTGATGTACAAGAAAACGGAACCAGTTAAATCGCGGAAAATGTCACCAAGCAATCGCTCCTGTCACTTGAATTCTACACGAGATTAAACGCAAACAGACGCGAGACAAGATGGAAAAATCACCTTGTTTTTTTTTTTTTTTTTTTCGTCTTTTTTTCGGCTTTGTAGAGACGTATGAAATTATTTCTCGTCCCGCGCGAGGGATTTCTTATCTGCGAATCGTAGCATTTTAATATCGCAAAACAGTGTAAATTGGTGATTGAAATTTTAAAATTGGTGTGAGACAGTGATGTTCTTGTGTAGTAGTGGTACCGGATGATTGTCGGTGATATAATAGAAGATAACAGCGAAAGAGAAAGGATAATTGAAGGAGACAACTTGGATATTCTCTGAACTTCATTTTTCTCTGACAGTAAGTTTCTTCTTATGATTGAAGGGAAAGAAGAACGATTTTTATTGGCGTAGACTTCAAAAGTATCTCCCTAAATATTTCGCGTTTTCCTGTGTCGCGAATTATAGATTGATTCAAAATTGTTGTTGATTATGAGAAATATGCAGAATTTATAATGCGATTTACATACATCGATGCGAAATGTAATGCGTGCAAAAATATTTTATTACATTATAATTAAAATCGCTATAAAATAAATTAATCGTCAAATTTATCAAGAATATATGACACGCCGTTATAAATTTATTAAAATAATTTAGATTCATGCGCTTCTTTAATCATCATCATTTATTTTCATAATTTTTAAAAGAAGTATATCGTAGATTTTTATGGAACGGACATACGGTCTGTTACAATTGTCATTTTTTTTTATGAGTGTACATGCATAAATCTTTCATCTTGCTTCGCGAGTGGTAAAGTTCATTCGATTGCTCGCACCGATTTGCGGTGCGAAAATGCGCACTTTGTATCTCGCGAAGCGATGACGATGACGATGGAACGCGCCGGTCGTCGTCGAAGTGAAACCGCGCGTTTCGATCGTGAGAAATGTCATCCCGCCGTGCTTGCATATTCTCGAGTAGCAACAGAGGCCGACGATCGTTATCGAAACGAGATGCAAATTTGAAATCGGGTTTGTCGTCGCACGGCACATTTTGACAGTTTTATTTATAGTCGTCCCATATAGGTACGCGCGTACAATTGTGTACGAGCGTGTGCGTGCGTGTTCATTGGATGCATTCCAGATCTTCCTTTTCTCCGGGCGATGCAACGCTCGCCCCTTTTCGGGAAGTTTGTTGAGAATTTCGATTGCTTCATTTATACGGACTGGATGATCGTATTCGCCGATGAGCCATTGCGATTTAAACTTAAACGTTATACGCTGCCTCTTAAATTATATAAATGAATAAGTGTCTTCTTTCTACTTCGAGCTTTTCATACGTGAATATATGATATAAATATTTTATTACATGTAGTTAAATAACCGGTAACCAAAAGAAATTAATGATTAAATTTGTTAGGAATATGGCGCGTCATTGTAAGTTTATTAAAACAACTTATTACAGATACAGATTGAGGCATTTTTTTTTTTTTTAATCATAAAACAGAAATTCGATAATTT